TGATCTTAATATATATTTATACAGACAGACTGTATTCATATAGACAGACTGAAGAAAAATATGTAGTTGACTTCCATTTCTCTCATTTTTTTTCTTTAATTTTTTTCTCCAAACAGCAGAGAGAATAAAAAGAGTCTGTCATGGGAAGAATATGATCAGATTCTACTGTGGAAATATAATTAGAATATGTTCCTTGGGCATTCAATCCTGTTTCTAGGTAAAATTGTTTTAAAAATAACCACCATTAAGTTTGTTCTACTCACATTTTGCTTTTCTCATGTTGTTCATTCTGACTAAAATCATAAGAATATCTATTCACCTTCACTGATATTCGTCATTTATGGGCTGGCCAAATAGCACAATGGATTAAAGCACGTGCAAGCAGGATCAGGGGCCAGAGGTTTGATCCCTGGGCCTGCTGTGCCAGCCTCACTCCTGGGTTACACTGAGACAGCAATTGAGACTGGGCATGGTGGGGCAAGCTCCTGTAATCCCAGAATTTGGTAGGCTGTAAACAGGCAGATCACTACAAGTCTGATCTAGTAGGGAGACCCTGAAGACTGTGTAGACCTTTCCCTAAAAATACAGAGAGAGAGAGAGAGAGAGAGAGAGAGAGAGAGAGAGAGAGAGAGAGAGAGAGAGATTCATCATTTACAAGGGGTAGAGCACCTCAGATTTTTATTTGTCATAGGATCATAGGTTAAGTCTTAGCTCTAGTACCTGCAACTCTGGATCTCAAGTTAAGTTGGTTAAGCTAAACTTACATTGGTCTCAATTTATACCTTTCAGGCACAAGCATGTTTACTTATGCAATGCAGGTGGTAATAATACCTATAGCAGGGGCTGGGGAGACAGCTCAGTGGAATAAGTGATTCCCTGGCAAGGGCAAGGAGCTGAGTTCAATCCCCTGTTCCACTAATTAATAATAATAATAATAATAATAATAATAATAATAATACCTATAGCAAAGCATTAGTATACACGAAAATGTTTCAGTAATTAATCAAAATGAAGTATCACTCCATATTGTGAGTGTTAACTGCTCATCTACCACATTGCAACCTCAACTTTTTACTTTCCTTGCTGTGATTTCTCTTCCCTTATGAACAGACTCTAAACTCCTGAGCTGCCGTCCTCTCTCTCATCTCTCATCTAAGTGCAGTGAAGATGTCCCTTTATCTCTAGATCATTGTCTGTATTTTCTGCTCAAACCAAAAAAATCTGATTAAAGCACAAGGATCTTAATACACTTATTATGGTTTATAAATATATACACTTCAAAATTCAATCTACATACCAGTGACTATATTTATCTGTCAGGTGTATATTCCATCCTCTCTTCTCTTATTTTATTTTTTATAAAGAGAGTACAAATTAGAGGGCTCCGTGAAGGCAGCTAGCGGGAGACTGGGAGCCTGAGCCTCATGTTGTGCCCTGTGCTGCCCAGACTCATGAACAATACAGTCAGAATGGCTAAAGGGGACCCCAAGAAACCAAAAGGCAAGACATCTGTGTATGCTCTCTTTGTGCAGACCTGTGGAGAGGAGCACAAGAAGAACCCAGAAGTCCTTGTCAATTTTGCAGAATTTTCCAAGAAGTGCTGAGAGAGTAGAAGATCATGTCATGGGAAACAGAAGCCTAAGTTTGATGAAATGGCCAAGGCAGATAAAGTCCGCTATGACTGAGAGATAAAAGATTATGGACCCTCAAAGGGAGGCAAGAAGAAAAAGGACCCCAACGCACCCAAAAGACCAACATCTGGACTTTTCCTGTTTGTTCGGAATTCCGCCCCAAGATCAAATCCGCCAATCCTGGTATCGCTATTGGTGATGTGGCCAAAAAGCTGGGAATGATGTGGAATAATTTAAGTGACAGTGAAAAGCAGCCCCACACACCAGGACAGCGAAACTGAAGGAAAAGCATGAGGACATAGCTATAAGTCTAAAGGAAAGTTCGATGGTGCAAAGGGTCTTGCTAAAGTTGCCTGGAAAAAGATAGAAGAGAAGAAGAAGAGGAGGAAAAGGAGAAAGAGGAGGAGGATGAATAAAAACCTTGTCTCCTTGTGAATCCTTTAGAGTAGGGGAGTGCAGTGACTGACCGTTTCTTAAGTTAAATACCAACTGGACTGCGATCCTGTAGTCTCTCAAATGCTCCAGGAATTGGCAGTAGCTTCTCAACATGGCCAAGGGGATCTGGAATGCTATGACATTGCAATCAAAGCTGTACATATTTCCAAACATTTTTAAACTGAAAAGGCACCCTGTGTTCTCACTCAGTGCACTTTGCTGTGGCTGTGAAAAGGCATTTGGAGATGTCTCTGGAGGTCATTTTTTAAGTTGTAAGGTGGAATTAACTGTAGGGTCATTGGCTAGAAACCCTGAGTTACCAATTGTACATATCTAGAGTTTGTAAATAGAGCAAAGTAAACCAGGCAAAACCTCAGTGGTTCCTGCTTGGCCCTGAGGCTGGGGGCAGATGCCACTGAGAAGGGACCTTAGACCTGTTGTTGCTGTAACTGTGGCACGCATCCGTCAGCTTCTGTACATAGTGACCTAGCATCCTGCTGCCCTGTCTTAGCTGGGGACTGAGAGGGTCAGCTGGCATGAGAAGTGTTTGGATTTATTACTGTTTTATTTTTTAGTAAAGTGCTAAACTGTTTGCTTCCAAATTGTAGAACTCTTCATTGGCAAAGAGTCAGAGAAGGTTCAAGAAGCTTCTGGGGGCCAGGGAGATAGCTACGTAGAATAAGCGCTTGCCTGGCTTCTGTACTTAAACATGATTTGCAATGTTGTGTTAGTTTTTTGTATGCTTAGAATGCTGAAATGTTTTCTAAGTTAAATAAACAGCATTACAATAAAGAGAGAGTAGAAATTAGAATTAAAACAAGAAAATTACAAGTGATGCAGAATTTCACTAAACAAAGTAATATGAATTTCAAAGTATTTGTTGTAATACATTGTGTTGTCTTCCAACCAGCATTCATATGATCAGATATCTGCATGGAAAATTGAGTAAGAAAGAAAAAAAAGAAAGAAATGTATAAGAAATTAAGAAGAGAAAAAGTACAAACAACTTAAAAAATGAGACAAAACAAATGAAAACATTCTTTCCATAGCCTGACAGAAATGTACAGTACGGTTGTCCAAAACATATTGCTTGCATACATAGATAAATCTCTTTCCCTCACTCCCCCTTCTATCTTTCTCCTCAACTAGTTAACTCTTTACTTTTAAATAAGTTCATTCCTTTTTCCCAGTGCTTATTGTATGCTTCAGGTTCTATTTTTCTCCTTCAGGTTCTCACACTAAGGAGATAATATGATGTTTGCACATGGGGGTCTGATTTATTTTACTTATGAATGTATTCTTTATTTGCATCCACTTACCAACAAAAAACTCAAATTTATCCTGCTTTATAGTTGAATAATACTCCATTGTATAAAAATACCACATCTTCTTTATCTATTCTTCAGTTGATGGGCATTTGTGTTGTTTCCAGGATTTAGCTCTAACAAATTGTATGGCTATAAACATGGATGCACATATATCTCTGTGGTATGAGGTTTTCAGTTCTTCTGAAAAAAAATACCTAGGAGGGGAATAGTTGGTGTGAATGGAATCTCCAATCCTAGCTTTTTAAGAAATCTCCACACTGACTTCCGTAGTGCTTGTACCAGTCTTCTCTCCCACCGACAGTGTGGAAGGGGCCAAATATGTTCACTGAAAGAAAGAGGGTGCTGGAAAAACTGGCTTTCCACATGTTGAAGGCTAAGACTAGACCCAAGCCTACTACCATGCACAAAGTTACAGCCAAAATGGATCAAAGATTTAAATATTAAAGCAGAAATACTAAATCTTCTGGAGGAAGATATAGCTAAGAGTCTTAAGGACATAGGGGTAAGTAGAAAGTTCTTGAACAAAAATCAAACTGCACAGGAAATACTTCAAAGAATAAACAAATGGTATCTTATCTTTTTGAAAAGGTTCTGCACTTGAAAGCAAATCTGCAACAGAGAAAAAAGGAAATCCACAAACTAGAAAACAAATTATAGCCACCTGTCCCTCTGACAAAGGCCTTCTATCTAGAACATATAAAGTGCTTTAAAAATCAAGACCCCACAAATTCAAAGACTCAGTCCAAAAATGGCCATCTGAGATGAATATACACTATTTAGAGGAAGAAATATAAAATGCAATTAAATGTATAAAAAAATGTTCAACATCATTGGTCATTTGAGAAATGCAAATTAAAACAATTCTAAGATTCCATCTTGCCCCAGAAAGAATGGCTAACATCAAGAAGTCAGCCTATAACAAATGCTGGAGAGGATGTGGAGAAAAAGGAACCCTTCTCTTTTTTTCTATCTAAATACAGAATGCCAGTTTTCAGCCCTTTGTGTTACAAGACAAAATCAAAGACTACATTCCCAGCCTTCCTTTATGACTGGAATAAAATGAACCCTAGAGAAGGGGATATATTAGAGACCTTGAAATGGGTTCTAGTCTCCTGCCTGGATTATAGAACACAGCTGGAAAGGAAAGAAAGAGCAAGTGACAAAGCAGCAGGGTACAGAGCAGGGATCTGGGAGCACCAGATGCTCTCTAGGGACAAAGGGCCTGAATCTTTAGCTAGCTACCATTCCATTAGTCAGTGCAGGGAAGGCTATGGTGCTTTTCCTGGAACAGGATAGAAGCAGTGTTATAATAGGCAAGGTTAATATCCTAAACGAAACATGCCAAGATCAATCTCTATGCCTGTGTTCTAATCTCATTGACCTAGAGGGAGGGGCTTTCCAGATCTCAAAATGGTTCACAAGGCAGGAAGGGGAAGGAAAGCCTGAGCCAAATACTATGTTAATTTACAATTCTTGGTTCCCAAAAGAGATATAAGCAGATAGTGTAAGAGTTAGTGAAGTCTGTTTAAAAGTTAAGTAAGAACTATGACTTCTTTCTGACTCCTCCATTTTACTACAGAGGGCACAGCTGTGACAGCACACTTACCTCAGCCACTTTGGGCCTTGTGGGAGGCCTCTACGCTTTAGGATGAGAAGGTGTTATGGCTTGTATTTAGGTGTTTCCAAAAGCCCTCTGTGTTCCTAGGTGGAGGTTTTCAGAGCTGGCTGGATTTAGGGCATGTGATACTAAGATTAAAGATGTGTGGTTCTAAATTAGCTCATGATCAGAATTAGCATAGTTCTGTGTGGCAACACCCACAAGGCTAATAGCCAGCAAGTGATAAAAGGACAAGGCCGGCTTCCTGCCACTGCTAGCTGCCAGCCGCCTTGTGCTTGGCACACCGTGAACTGTTTCCCCACTGCCATGCCTTCCCGTACTGGGACCAGCCAACTGTGGACTGAAACCTCTATAAACGGTGAGCTGAAATAAACCTTTCCTCCTCTAACTGGAGTGCTGCGTATTATGTCCCAGCAACAAGAAAACAAGGGCACCCAAAAGGAGATTGACTATAGAGCTCACATTAGCCTGAGTTGTCTCTACCAGGCTTCTTTTAGAGTGAAGCAAATGTCTGTTTTAATTATGCACTTATGATAAGGAGGTATTTTTGTTCTTCAAAGTTAAGCTAATCAAATAATTTCTATATATTTGACACAGACCTCTCTGATGAGTTCTAATTCTGTATTATAGGGTGCTATTTAATATTTCAGACAAACCCCAAAGTGAAATTATCTGAAACTAGATTCAACATTTGCTCCTGCCAGACCTCTTTCCCACATTCCTATATCAAATCATAATGCCTACATCTACCTTGTTATTGCAAAGCTAACCAGTTCCCACTTTGAAGTATAAATCTAGCCAATAATACTACCAGTAAATAATGTTTAAATTTATCTTTTTGGGTTTACTTCCATTCCAAGAGTTTGTTCTTTCTCATCCTTCCCTCACTGACAGCAAGCTACAGTTCTATGTCAATATGTTTACTGAAGGCTACACATTTAAGTAGAACATTTTCTGAGATTTGTCAATGATAATAAGATTTTGACAGACATTAGTGATGTCTAAATCTAGATAATAGCAGTAGAATAATTCTACCAGCTAGTCAAACGCAGAAGGAAAGACCATGGGCAAAATATTTCATCTGAGTACTATAGAAAACATTATGCTATGTTTGTGATGTCTCTACTGGCTAAGGAATTCACTTAGATACAGATACATTTATTTTTAAATCACTCTTGTATCAGTGAAGGAAAGATCAGTTTTGAATTCCAAAGCAAGTGAGGGCTTGCCAGTTAGCTCAATTGTTTAAGTACTTGCCTGGGCACACCCAGTCAGGCTGGTAGGACAACGGTTCAATCTCCACCTCCACATGCCATACCACATCCACTGTTGAGGCAGCCTGATCCCACCAAAAAAAAAAGCCTGAATTCCAAAGCAAGCAAGTAATCATTTCCTCACAAGAACATTTTTCTTGTTAAACTACTGCAGGCCATCACCAGTAAAAAACCGCTTACCATAGAATCATGAAATCATCAACTACAGGATCATTTTACAAATTGAAATTGCATTATTTGAGTTCTGGTTGAACATAATCTATCTCTGTGCTGTTTTGCAAAAACTACATTTAAGTCATAAGTAAATGAATGTAGAACACACACACATAAACACAGAAAAGAAGAGGCAACTACAATAGATGAGAAATATCAGAGACTTTTAGAAGGAAAATGGGCAGGTGCATGGCCACGAACATAGTATAGTTAAAAAAGGGAGTGCTATCCAGCCTCAAGAGAAGCACAGTGAGAGGAAAGCCCAGCAACACTTGGAGCTCACTGAGTTGCTCAGAAATCGGAGGTTCGGCTTAATCAGAAAAAACAAAACAGATCATACTGAAGAAATCTGAAGACAGATGGGGTGATCTTTTTCTGACAGTTTTGTGTTTAGCTACCCCATCAATCCTGACATGGTTCTTCTTTCCTAAAAGTACACTAATTTTGTGGTGATATCATGCAAAGAGCCTTTTAATTTTGTTTATTTATTTATTTTAGGGAAGGGTGTACAGGGTGTTTAGGGTCTCACTACTAGATCAGACTCGTAGTGATCCGCCTGCTTACAGTTTCTCAAGATCTGGGATTACGGGTGCACACCAACATGCTCAGTCTCAATCCCTGTCTAACCATGCCCCAGGGGCGAGGCCAGCCCCAGGATTGAACCCCAGCCCCTGCACCTGCTTGCAGGTGCTTTGATCTGCTGAGTTTGGGGCCAGGGAGATGGCTCAGTAGAATAAGTGCTTCCCTGGCAAGCACAAGGGCTTTAGTTCAATCCAAAATTCTGGAAAAAAAAAAAATCTGCTGAGCTATTTAGCCAGCTCTTAAGTCTTTGAATTTTGGAAAACTACACACAGGAGAAGATGAATAAAAGAGCCAAAGGAACACCGAACATTTCATATGAAAGCCTGAGCAGTCAACAGCAGGATCCCCCAGCACATTTACATAAGCCTTTGCAGCTTAGTGGATTCTCTCAGTGCGCATTAGTGCAAGACGAAGGCACTCTAGAAACGGACACTGCAGTACATCCCTAAGAGACTCTCCCTCTGGGAGGTTCAACAGTTATTTGCAAGCCTAGCTGTGTGCACTGAGCATTCATTAACTCTGCTTTCTAGTTTAGTTTAGTTTTGTTTTGTTTCTGAACATTAAATTGACATTTAGTTCACAATTTAAAACTGAATGGATAAATCGTGAGTATCACATATAAAACAGTCTTCTAAATGGAAAGTAGTAAAAATAATCAATAAACGTAAAAGAAGATCTTTAAAGAAAGAGTAGAAATGCAGAAGGATAATTTAAAAGAAAATATTACATTTTTCTTCAGGGTCATAAAGATAATGCCGGAAACCACAATGAGATGATATAAATATAAATCTAGTATAATACAATAAACTTTTAGAACTTAAGCATATAGCACACATAAAAATATCCAATAGAAAATTTAAAAGACCAAGGACAAAAAAAAAAAGTATTTTAGAAACCAGGAAGATCAAAAGCAGGTGGAAAATATATAGAAAAGTAATAAAATTAGTGCACTTAAAAAAATTTGTGCTCTTCTTTCACTAGAAATATTTGAGGAAAACAATTTCAAGGAAAAAATATAACAAAGAGGAAAATAGAAAAGAATGAAATGAGAAAAAAAAAAAAAAGAAACGTATTTCCAAAGAGTGAAGGATACTTATTTTTCATAATGGAAAAAGTTCTGAGTACTCAGTAGAGTAACAATTTTGTTGCTGCTGTTGTTTCCTTCATTGGGAGTGGCCCATGCATCATCTTGAAATTTCAGAATAATATGATGAGGTGCTCCTAAACGCTTATAGAAATGAATATAATTATTTCTGGATTTAAAAATCAGGAAATCATAAAATGTTTGAAGAAAAACACTGTAAGCTACAAAAAACAGTATGCTTCAATGTTCACAGTAATATAATCCCTAAACTATAGTTCTATCTTCAGTGAACTATGATACTTAGTAATTTGTTTCAGAATTTCACCGTAATGGAACATCACAATCACATTCCTGAGGGTCCAGTGAACGTATTTTCCAGGGATGATTGAAATATGGTGGGATGGTTGTCAGGGTGGAATTCCAGCACTTTGGAGGCAAGAAGATCACCACAGATTAAGGCCAGCATAGTCTATACAGTGAGGCTCATGGCCAGCCTGAACTATATAGCAAGACCCTGTCTCAAAAATAAATAAAAACAAACAAACAAACAAAATATGGTGGTGCTGGGGCAATAGCTCACCTGTCTGTCGCCTGCCTGACAAGCACAAGAACCCGAGTTCAATCTCCGGTATCTTGTGCTGGCCACCAAAACTGGGTATGGTGGCACATGCATTGAATCCCTGTGCTAGGGAGGCTGAGACAGGAGGATGACTACAAGTTTGAGATGTGTAGTAAGACCTTCTACCAACTGATAAATAAAAAGATCTTTTTAAATTTTAAAATATTATGATGAATATTTAAGCAATAGCCAAAATCTCCAGTGATGAATGATGGGATAAATATGTTTCAAGTGATGGAAATGATGCCAGTGTTCTACAGGAATTAATGTCAGTGCATCCTTTATTATATTTTCATTTAAATACTTATCTTATTTTTATCATACTACATACTTAAAATTATGGAGTAACTTAAAAGGAAGATTTAAAAATGACTGAACAAAGGAAAGCCATGAAAGTATACCTTAGATGACAGTGAAAGTAGACTTAGATCAGCAGCTATGAGACCTCAAAGAAAGAAGAAAGGAAAGAAGGAAAGAAAGAAGGAAAGAAGGGGCCGCAGAGATGGCTCAGTAGAATAAAGTACAAGGGCCTGAGTTCAATCCCTGGTTCTACAAAGAAAGAAGAAAGAAAGAAGAAAGAAAGAAAGAAAGAAAGAAAGAAAGAAAGAAAGAAAGAAAGAAAGAAAGAAAAAAAGAAAGAAAAAAAGGAAGAAAGAAGAAAGAAAAAGAAAGAAAGGGAGGGCGGGCTTTGAGTACCTGATGTGTTCTTACAGAAAAGGTTTCATAATGTTTTGGGAGTGTTGGATAGATAGGTACATACAAATTAAAAATGTGAGAAAAGTTATTATCTTCAGAGAAAGCAATTGCGTAAGAAAGCAATTATATTGAAAGTGTAATATTTAGTTTGGATACCAGAAAACTTGCATTCTCATAATAATATAAACATTCACCCAAATCTCAAAACAAATCTATATTGGAATAACGAAGGTAGAAAGCACATGCTTCCATAGGTACCAGCAGTTAAAAGTTCTATCCTTTGACATATATATATATATATATATATATATATATATATGCCTAAAATGTGCAAGATTAGGGGTCTAATCTCTAGCACACAAGAAAATAATGTCACTAAACATTCTCTCAGGCTTTCACAGAGAGAACATTGGCCAAGCAATTGCCGTGACTCATCCACATGGCTGACACTGACAAAGGATCTACAATCTGAGGTACAGGATCTCAGGATAAATCCTGAGGGGATTTCACTGACCTTATCAGATCCAAAAGCTACAACTCTTGTGGCATAGGTCTTTCTTTATCTTGGTCTTAATCATCCAGCAGAAAGGTATAAAAATGAAGTAGAAGAAGTAAAA